TGGGGAGGGAGATGGGATGAGTCTGAGGTTGTGATAATGGGATGGGATGGGATGGGATGGGATGGGATGGGATGGGATGGGATGGGATGGGATGGGGTGGGGTGGGATGGGATGGGGTGGGGTGGGATGGGATGGGATGGGATGGGATGGGATGGGGTGGGATGGCATGGCATGGCATGGCATGGCATGGCATGGCATGGCATGGCATGGCATGGCATGGCATGGCATGGGAGGCAACATGATCCCAAAAATCACTTCTCCAACCCAGATGGAGGCGGTCCCCATCGCTGTCCCACTTCTGGTGCTGTGTCCCCATGTCCTTTAGGGTGGTGCCTACTCTGGAAAGCGCTGTGTTACATCGAGGTTTCTCTTCCTCCTTTCTTCCCAAGTGAGAAATTTGTGCTGAGTTTGGCTCTGTCCATCCGGTGGGGAACTTCTCAGCAGTGACAGGGTGACACTTGGGCCACCCGAGGGTTGTGCTGCTCCTGGTGACATGCCTGTCATCAGAAGGGACAGCAGTGCTGGGCTGATGCCACCATCCCGCAGCCAAGCCAAACACTGACACGTGTCCATCTGCAAGAGCTGAGCATTCCAAGGCTGGGGGACCAGGAGGAAGGGCTGCCACCATAAATCAGTGTTCCACGCCGTATTCCTTCACAAGCCATGCTCTGCACTGGATCCTCTGCTCTCTGGATCCTCTGCTCTTCATCCCAGAGGGGCTGATGGCTGAAGGCAGGTCCCAGTCCGATGAGGAATGCACCTCCACTCACTGTCAGCACGCAGTGCTCACTCCAGCTCACCGCCTCTCCCAGCCCTGCTGTCAGAGCGATGCTTTCCTGTGCTGCACCACAACGGGGGCTGAGAGCAAACGATGCACATTGGTGCTTATTCACCATCACGTGCACACTGGAAGATGTGTGCTGCTGTGGCCAGGAAGCGCTGCTCTGCTCGGAAGAGGTGCTGTGGGGTTTCTGCCCTATGGGGGTGGCTGCGTGCTGCTGGAGGGGCTGGATGCCACCGTGGGGTCTGAGCAGCAGTAGCACCCCATGGCAGCAGGTGGCGTGGGAAAGGTGTGGGTAGGGGAGAAGGGCTGAGGGCAGGAGCTGTGCTTACCCCAGTGGAGTGACTGCGCTCAGCCCTACACCCATAACTTCTCATATTACCCATAACCAGCCCTAGGGCTCGGCTGTAACCCACTACCCATCACGCCCAAGGGACTCAGCTCACGTCCTCCACCCCATAGCTACCCCAGGAGCTCAGCCCCACATCCCTTACCTGTGACCTCCCAGGAACTCTGCTTTCCTCTGCTCTGTAACCCCTCAGGACTCAGCTCTGACACGGTTACCTCCAAACCCCTTCCTAAGACTCCCCTCCTGTCCTGCACCCCATCAATCACCCCAGGACTAAGTCGTCCTCACCTGCAATCCCCCAGGAGCACAACCCCTGTCCTCTACCCCATACACCTCCCAGCTGCTCAGCCCCAGTTCTCTGCCCATAACTCCAGCGGGACTCGGCTCTGCCGCAACACCCCCGGGACTCATCTCTGCCCCCTTACCGACAACCCGCCTAGGATGCAGCCCACGTCCTTTAACCCACAACCCCCCCAGGATCTCTGCCTTGACCCCCTTCACCCTATAACCCCTGCGACTCGTCTCTGCCCCCCCCCCCTACCTACAACCCCCCTAGGACTCACCCCTTGCCCTCCACCCCGCCCCCAGAAGAGCTCAGCCCTCCGTCCTCCCCAGCCGCAGGGCTCGGCGATCCTCACGCCGCTCCCCCAGCTCGGGATCCTACACCGCAACCCCGGTCCCACCCCGCCTCCCCCGGCCGGGTGCAGGCAGCGCCCGCCCCGCTCCCCGTCCCCTCCCGCCGCTCCTCCCGGGGCGTTCCGCGCGGCGGTGCCGCACAGCGGGCGGATGGCGGCCGATGGGTACCGCTGCCGGGAGAGCCGCTTCATCGCCAGCGGGCAGTCGGTGGTGCCCAGCTCGGCTCTGTTCGCCGCCGGCCTGCTGGGCAACGTGCTGGCTTTGCTCCTCTTGGGGCAGCACCGACGGCGCTCCCGCTCCGCCGCCGGCCGCGCTCCGCGGGTCTCCGCCTTCTACGTGCTGGTGAGCGGGCTGGCGGTGACCGACCTGCTGGGCAAGTGCCTGCTCAGCCCCATCGTGCTGGCCGCCTACGCCTACAACCGCAGCCTGAGCGAGCTGGGAGCGGGCGGCCGCGGGGAAAGCGAGCCGGGAGCGCTGTGCCAACTCTTCGCCTTCCTGATGGCGTTCTTCGGGCTGGCCCCCACCGTGCTGCTGCTGGCCATGGCCACCGAGTGCTGGCTGTCGCTGGGCCACCCGTACTTCTACCGGCGGCACGTCACCCGGCGCCGGGGAGCGATGCTGTGCGCGCTGGGCGCGACTCTGTGCGCCCTGTTCTGCGCGCTGCCGCTGCTGGGCTTCGGCGCTCCCATGCAGTACTGCCCCGGGACGTGGTGCTTCATCCGCATGGCGGGCGGCGGGCCGAGCCAGCTCGGCTTCCCCGTGCTGTACGCCAGCGTGCTGGGCGTGCTGGTGTTGGCCATCGCGGCTTGCAACGTGTGCAGCATGCGGCAGCTGTACGGCATGGCCCGCAGGCAGCCCCGGCGCGGAGCGCAGCCCCCCGGCCCGGCAGCGCCGCGCATGGAGGAGCTCGACCACCTGGTGCTGCTGGGGCTCATGACCGCTCTCTTCACCGTCTGCTCGCTGCCGCTCATCGTGAGTACGCTGCGCGTCCCTCCCCCCCTCACCTCCCCGGACCCCCCCGCTTCATCGCTTCCGTTGCCCCGGCGCTGCTGTGCCCCCCCCGACGTGAAACCCCGTTCGTCCCGCTTGGGTTCACCCGCCTCCCCCACCCCTCCCAGGTTGTCCCCTTGGCGCAGCCCCGTCCCCACTTGCTGCAGGGTCACGTTGCGTCCTCGTCCTTTGGCGCAGCTCGGTGCCTGGGGTGGGGGTGGGGGTCGTGCCGCTGCTTTGCCCCTCAGCACCGCAATGCACACCTCAAGATATCGGGGGGGTTCCTTGCTTTACTGCCTCCACTGTCACCCTGTCCCAGAGGGTTGGGTTGTTGCTTTATCCCCTTGGAATAACCCCCCCATACCATCTCTCTGTCTCGTTGGTGCCAAGGAAGGGGGGGGGGGGGGGGGGGGGCTCAGCTCGTTGCTTTAATCCCTTTTAATGACCACCCCAATCATCCCCAGCCCAGCGTTGTCAGAGGGAGTCAGGTCCTTGCTTTAACCTCCTTGGAACAGGGGGGGGGGGGGGGGGGGGGGGGGGGGGGGGGGGGGGGG